GAATTCTGGAAATTCTTGGGTAGCATCACCTGGGAGGTATGAGAGGTCATTTCCAGAATGCAGTTGTTATACTGCGCTTTAGAAGTCACTGCTGGGTTTGAGAGTGTGTATTGTATTTGTATCAATATTTTGAATTTTAATGAAGGGTTGGGAAGGTAAATGTAGGAGAAGAGTTAACAGTCGCTTTAGAAGTCACTGCTGGGTTTGAGAGTGTGTATTTGTATCAATATTTTGAACTTTAATGAAGGGCTGGGAAGGTAAATGTAGGAGAAGGGTTAACAGCAGAGAAAATTCCAAGATAGGCAGACTTGGCCCCCAGAAGGCTGGCAGTGGACTCTGAATGCTGAAATCTCAGGTGAGATTATTTTCTTTCTTGGATCTTTGCAAAGTGGAGCAAATTCCTGACCCCATCTTGCTCACTGCTTTGGGGCTTTTGTTCTTCTCTGGAAAAGTGAGAAAATGAAAGAAGGGAGTTACCTTGTTCAAGTCTAGTTGCTGTCCAATCTCCTGATTTCTTGGATTAAACTTTATTTTGAAATAATTGTACATTGACCTAGTCAGAAGAAATAATACAGAGATATTTCATGTAAGCTTTACTCCGTTTCCCCCTCAGGGGTAACATCTTGAAAATCCATACAGTGTCACAACCAGGATATAACATCAACACACGTTCAAGATACAGAACATTTTCATCACCACAAGGATGCCTTGTGTCGCCCTTTATGACTGCGCCCTCCTCCCTCCAGTCCTCACTCCCTCCTGAACTCCTGGCCACTGCTAATCTGTGTTCCATTTCTATAGTTTTCTCATTTCAAGAATGTTAGATAAATGGAATCACACAGTTCAGAACCTATGGGATTGGCTCTTTTCATTCAGCATCATTCTCTGGGCATTCACTCAGGTTTTTGTAAAGGTCAGTAGTTGGTGTCTTTTTATTGCTGAGTCATACTCCATGCTATGGATATACCACAGTTTGTTTAACCTTTAACCAGTCAAAGGGTATCTGGGTTGTGTCCAGTTTTTGGCCACTGTGAAGAAATTTGCTATAAACAGACGTTTTTAACTTCTTTGGGAAAATCCCTAGGAGTACAATTGGTGAGTTGTATGTTTAGTTTTTTTTTTTTTAAGTCAAATGTTTCCAGGGTAGCTGAACCATTGTAACTTCTCACAAGCAGTATGTGAATGATCTAGTTTCTCCTCATCCTTATCAGCCTGTCATGTCGTCACTCTTTATTTTAGCCATTCTGCTAAGTGTAGAGTGATATCTCATTATGGTTTTTAATTTTCTCTTACCTAATGGCCCATGATGTTGAATATCCATTCATGTGCTTATTTGCTATCTGAATATTTTCCTCAGTTAAATGTCTGTTCATGTATTTTGCCCATTTTCCAATTGTTTGGGTTGTGTGTTTTTTTACTATTGAAGTTTGAAAGTTTTCTATTGAAGTTTGCTAATATTTTCTCCTAATGTAAAGCGTATATTTACGTCTACTTCGCGTGGGCAAACGTTCTAAGTTTTGATGAAGTCCAAGTTATCAATCTTCCCTTTTATGGATTGTGTTTTGGGGGTCAAGGCTAAGAACTCTTTGCCAAGCCCTAGATTCCAAAGATGGTTCTGTTTTTTTCTGAATGTTTCATGGTTCTTACATTTTACATTTATGCAGTGATCCACTTTGAGTTGATCTTTATATAAAGTGTGAAACTCATAGACAATAACTGCTCTGCATCTACTAAACACCACAGGAAAAAAAAACCTGTTGTCTCCCCTGCCACCTCCACTGGAGGGGACCCTAGACCTCCACCCTTGCAAGGTGTTGTCTTATTGAGCATCGACAACATCCCGGAGCCATCGCTCTCCAGGCATTTCAAATCAATGGCAAGGGCCTGGCTTTTAAGGTATATGCTGTGGACGAGAGAGCTGATCCTAGAATCCATCAGACACATTAGAATCCAGCTGCATGATATTTGGGCAAACTGCTCACTGTTCTGAGCCTTGTTGGTTTTTTTTCATTTGTCATAAGATGGCTTTGAGGATTAAATTAGACAAAGTATGTGAAATGGCTTGTGCAGGGGTGTTCAATAAATGATCTCATTCTTCTCCAAACGGATCCCTTGCAGCTGTTGGACGTTAGCAATGGGTTGTTGTCAGTGAACAGAAAAGGGCCAGTTGTGTGCAGCCAGCCTGAGTTGTCTAAGGGCTAATTATCTGGTTTATAGATAAACTAAGAACCGTCTGCTCTTGCTGCCCAGCGTGGTGGCCAATGCTTTAACCAGTCCCCAGCAGCTATGGTGCCAGGTGAAGAGGGCAGGTGAACATTTTATTCTGATTCAGTAAATATTTCTAGAAGATTGGAAGGCTCAGGAAAGAAATGGGCATGGATAGGAAGAGATTTTCTTTAAACTGATTTTCTTAGTTTTACCAACTTTCTATAAATTGTGTGTGTGTGGGGGGGATGAAATGTCTATAAAATTAAATTCTGCTATAAAACACATAAAGAAATTCTACCTGTTCTATCTGAAGGAGAAAGTGTCAGGTTACCAGAGTGCAGTTCTTGAAACCATTTTAAATTTTCTGATTTTTAAAAAAACTTTATTGTTGCCCTGGCCAGCTTGGCTCAGTGGATGGAGTGTCAGCCTGCGGACTGAAGGGACCCAGGTTCAATTCCGGCCAAGGGCACATGCCTGGGTTGCGGGCTC